CAGGTTGCTGACTCCTAGCCTAAGTATTAACTGCTACTGCTATAAGGCGGGGCTAAAAGTTCTTAATAATCCTCTGGGATGTTTCGCACACACCCAGCTGAGCTCTGGCACCACCAAAGCAGAGCCCTTGGCTCACACCTGGCGTGCGCAAAGTTGAAAGTCCAGTTTTGTGGGTGGTTCGAGAGGCCTGCGTTCGAAGCTTCCCGATTAGCAGGCGAGAGTCACGCAGCAGCCATAAAAGACGGCGCGAACTCGGAAAAGGGTGTTGGTGGCAACGGTGTGTGCGTGCCACCCTCCTGCCTATCCACACCCACCGGGCCATCCCAGTTGCTGGCTTTGGCTCTTTAATATAATGTGTTCCTTAGAAAAGATGCTGAACCTCATGTTTATTTATTGTTTTTCCCAGGAAACAAGGCAAGTCCTGGAAGAGAGTGCAAAAAATTCCGGCCCTTCCCAAGCACATTCGCTGCCGTTTTTGATGCTGGGTGCAGGCTGGCATCTCCTGCGCCTTTTATCAGTGGCATTTCTAGCCTGCCGTGGCTTCGCTCCCTTATATATTGATTTATTAGTCGTTTCATGCGGCCGCCCACCTCACAGGTGAGGGATATGTACAGCAAAGTTAAAAACCATATATATCCTCATCACAGATTAATTTAGCATTATAACCCGGATCAAGAGCTGAAGGCGTCCAGTTTGCTCCGGACAACACACAGGCCGGTAAGCAAAGGGGGAGAAGTCCGCTGCCCACTCCCCAATTATTGTCACTGATTTAGGTCCCCCCCCTTGCTTTTCCCTTCTTGCAAATCACTTCTGTGCACATCCCAAGTGCCATGTTTTCAATGCAACATGAAATGAGCCTGGGTGGCGCAGTGGACTAAGTGCTGTTAAAGTAGTACTTAGCTGCCAGCTGCCTGCAATTACTGCAAGTTCAATTCTCACCAGGCTCAAGGTTGACTCAGCCTTCCATCCTTCCGAGGTAGGTAAAATGAGGACCCGGATTGTGGGGGTAATAAACTGACTTTGTATAAAAAAGAAACACCGCTTAGGGGGGGCCGAAAGCCCTACTAAGCAGGTATACACAAAAGTATGAAGGCTGTTGCTTAACGCATTGTAAGCCACCCTGAGTCTCTGGAGAAGGGCGGCATATAAACCGAACCAATAAATAAATAAATAAAACATATATTGCAATTGCAAAGAAGAGCAACGAAGAGGATTAAGGGGCTGGAGACAAAAACACATGAAGAACGGTTGCAGGATTTGGGTTTGGCCAGTCCAGAGAAAAGAAAAATTGGGGGGGGGGGACACATGATAGCAGTATTTCAAGTATTGGAGAGGTTGCCCCAAAGAAGAGGGGGGGCGGGGCGGGGGTCAGCTTATTTTCCAAAGCACCAGAAGGCAGGACAAGATGGAAACTCACCAAGGAGAGAAGCCACCTGGAACTAAGGAGAAATTTCCTGAGGGTGAGAACTATTAACCAGTGGAACGACTTGCCACCAGAGGTTGTGGGTGCTCCCATCACTGGAGGTTTTTAAGAAGAGCCTGGACAGTCGCATGTGTGAAATGCTGTAAGGTCTCCTGCCTGAGCAGTGGGGCAGGACTAGATGACCTCCAAGGTTCCTTCCAACTCTGTTATTCTGTTACTCTGCATTGCCAGGATACATTTAGAAGCTCCCAAAGCCCCCTCTTTATCATCCATCCCCGCCCTTCCCCCGCAAGCCGCCTCTCCAAAGCACACATTTTGGGGTGGGGGGAGTGGGGTGGGGGAGCTTTCTCCTGCCCAGCCTCCAATCCCTGGAATTGCTCCGGCTGCACAGCCCCCTCCCCTCCCCTCCCCTCCCCACCCGAGAGGGGAAGAGCCCTGAGCTGTAGCCGCATCAGAAAAGGCGTTCCTCTACAGGAGTACGGGGCGGAAGGGACCCCAGAGGTCATCTAGCCCAGCCCCCGGCGATTCCGGCCGAACTGAGACCCGTTGGGTGGGTGGGTTTCAGGCTGCGACTCCTCGGAGAGTCTGCCTAACTTTCCCGGCGAATCGGATCGCGAGCCCCCCCCCCTGCCCGGAGACATTTGCGGGGGCTGCGAAGGGTCGAGATGGAGCCTAGAGGGGGGGAAGGGGCGTCCCGGGACCCCCCCCACCCTCCTCCTCGCAGGGCGCTTCCCGGAGCCTCCGCTCGGGCGAAACCCGACACCCGCAGCCCAGCGGTGGGACGGAGGAGGGGCCTTCAACCCCCCCCTCCCCGCCCAAGCCCCCCCTTCCCCCCCACCGTCGCATCTCGGCTGGCAGCGGACCCTGCCCCGCGGCTCCCGACGCCGCCTGCAGGGCGCAGAGCCCGGATCGCGCAGGACCTTCCTCCACCTCGCTCTTTTTCCAGCGCCGGCGAGAGAAAAGCGGGCAAGGGGCGATCCAGAGCCGAGCAGCGCAAAGCCCGCCGGGGGTGGGCGTGGGGGGCTTTGGCCGGGGCTGAGAGCCAGCTTGGAGATTCCCCCCCTCCCCTCTCCTCCTTTATCGCCTGGCCGGCCGCGGAAAGGAGAAGCCCACCCCGAGGAGAAGATGCCCGGGTTCCGAGGCGCTTTGGATCCCGCGCGGCGACGGAGGAGGCGACGGCGGCTGAGCGCCGGGATCGGGTCCCCCGGGGGGGACATCTGAAGGCGGCCCGCCCGCCGAGCCATGACGCCCCCCGCCTGGGCGTGAGCCTGGCTGGCGCGCCTGGCGGGAAGCGATCCTAAGCGCTCGGGGTCCGCCCGGGCGGAGGTGCGCGCCTCGGAGCAGCTGCCGCCGGTGGGAGAAGGTAAGGGCGCGATCTTGCTCCGGCTCGGGGGCAGCAAGCAAGTAAGCGGGCGGAGGTCGTGGCCGGTCCGGAGGGTCTCCCGCTGCTCTGGGAGTGAGACCCCCGCCGCCACCCGGCACATTTGCCCGGTGGTCCAAATTGAGCGGAAAAGAATCGGGGGGGGGTTTACACACACACACACACACACACACACACACACACACACACACACAAGAAGAAGATCCTGCGCAACGCCCCCTCCCCAAAAAGCATTTCCAGGAGGCTCCGGCTGCGTTCACACGAGATGCGGGTTGCAGGTCTTTTCCAAAAAGCGGGTTGATTGTCTGGTCCGACTTGCCTTGGGGATGGATCGCGATGGATGTGGGGCCGAGCCAGGATTGAGGGTTGGGGGTCGGGGAGGGGGTTGAACTGATAGGTTGGGGACGTGGTCTGCCCGTCCCTCCGACCTGGCTCTGGTGGGTGGGCTCCTCCTGGGGTCCTCCCGGGACTTCAGACCCTCCCCCGGGATGAAGTCCCAGCTTGACAGATGGGTTCCGAGACGTGGGGAAGGGGCTGCGCCTCCCCCTCCCGGCTGCCCGCTTCCACGCGCGCCCCAATTTCTCCCCGCCCCAAGTCAAAAGTTTTGCAAAATCTCACCTTGGCATTTCCCCCACTCGCCTTTTCCTTTCCTTTCCTAGAAAATTGGGTCGGGGGGCGACTGGGTGGTGGTGGGAAAGGCAGAACCGGCACAGCCGCTTTGGATCTAGGGGTGGGGTGTGTGTGGGGTGGGGGGATCTTCTTGGGAGAAAAAGGGGGAGCGATCGTTCTTGGATCTGCGGGTTTCTCTGCTGGCCAGACGTGGCTGGGAAATCTGTTCCAGCGAAGATTTCCCTACCGCAAATTCCTCCGGAATTTCAAATGAATTTCACTAATTGGATTCGAACCCGCTACATGCCCGATCTGCGCGGCCGGAGCAGGCTTGCAAGAGCAGGAATGACGTTGCCCGCATAGTTTCGCAAGATTAAACACACATGCACGCCAAACCGCAGGCGTTAAATTGTCAGCGTTAAGGTTATTTGTGTGTGTGTGTGTGTGTGTTGTTGTTAAAAGAGTTTCGGGGCCGGAGGAGAGAAGTTGCTGGAGCTTAGAATTTGCCTCCCGAAATTATGAGAACCCAGTCACTAGCGATCAAAATAGAGCCGGAAGGGACCTTAGAGGTCTTCTAGTCCAACCCGCTGCTTGGGCAAGACACCCTATCCCATTCCGGACAAGTGGTTGTCCAGTCTCTTCTTAAAAACCTTCAGTGTTGGAGCATCTACAACTTCTGGTGGCAAGCAGTTCCACTGGTTAATTGTCCTCACTGTCAGGAAGTTTCTCCTTAATTCCAAGTTGCTTCTCTCTCCTTGATCAGTTTCCATCCATGTTTCTTCTGGTGCTTTGGAGAATAAGTTGACTCCCTCTTCTTTGGGGCAGCCTCTCAAATACTGGAAGACTGCGATCATATCACCCCTAATTCTTCTTTTCTCTACAGGCCACAACTTCTGGTGGCAAGCTGTTCCACTGGTTAATTGTCCTCACTGTCGGGAAGTTTCTCCTTAATTCCAGGTTGCTTCTCTCTCCTTGATCAGTTTCCATCCATTGCTTCTTGTCCTGCCTTTGGGTGCTTTGGAGAATAGCTTGACTCCCTCTTCTTTGGGGCAGCCCCTCAAACACTGGAAGACTGCAATCATATCACCCCTAATTCTTCTTTTCTCTAGACTGGCCAGACCCAAATCTTCCAACTATTCTCCATATAATTTTAATCTCCAGGCTTTTAATCATCTTCGTTGCTCTTCTTGGCACTTTTTCCAAAGTCTCAACATCTTTTTTTTTTTGAAACGTGGTGACCAAAACTGGATGCAGTTATTCCAGGTGTGGCCTTACTAAAGGCTTTATAAATTTTATTTACAATATATATATATATACTCAATTTTCTGGGCTTTGTTTTCCTTCTGTTTCTCCGGAACGATGGATTTTTCCATGGAAGGCTACTGGCTGGCTATTTACAACAAAGGGGTTGTGTGATTACAAAAGGAAAAGAAAAAATATTTTGGTTTTTGGAAATCCGCTCTCTTTAAACAGCGTCTGTTATTTTACAGTAGTTCTTTGGAACTTGCAGTTCCTGGATAATGTCGGTTGGCAGGGAAGGGACTGGAAGGCCGTTGACTTCAGAATTCAGATAGTCCATGACTTACGACGAACAACGGAGCCCAGAATGTATGTTGCTAAGTGAGACATTTTGTTGAGTGGGTTTTGGCTCCCCCCCTTTTTTTTAAATTTGATTTATATGCTGCCCTTCTCTGGAGACTCAGGGCGGCTTACAATGCGCTCAGCAATAGCCTTCATACTTTTGTATATTTTTATACAAAGTCAGCTTATTGCCCCCACAAACCAGGTCCTCATTTTACCTACCTTAGAAAGGATGGAAGGCTGAGTCAACCTTGAGCCTGGAGAGATTCGAACTTGCAGTAATTGCAGGCAGCTGGTGTTAATCACAATGCTTTTTTAGTCTGCTGAGCCACCAGGGCCCTTTTACGGCCCTTTCTTGCCCCGTTCGTTAAATGAACGAACTGCGGGTGTTAAATTAGTCACACAGGTTGTTAACCTGAATCAGGTTTCTCTGTGGACTTTGTGTGTCAGAAGGTCGCAAAAAGGGATCACGTGACCCCGGGATACTGCGACCGTCATCAATATGAGTCAGCCACCATGCATCTGAATGTGGATCACATGACCATGGGGAGGCTACCCGGGTCGTAAGTGTGAAACACGGTCCTAAGTCATTTTTTTCAGTCCCGTTGTAACTTTGAACGGTCACTAAATGAATTGGTTGTAAGTCGAGAGCTACCTGTAATGCGTTTCTGCAGTAGCTTCTCTCCCCTCCCACCCCCCATCTATGCTGCATAAAATAGGGGAATGTTTCTCAATGTTAAGACCTGTGGACTTCAACTCCCAGAATTCCCCAGGCAGGCTAGCTGGGGAATTCTGGGAGTTGAAGTCCATAGGTCTTAAAAGTTCCTGAGGTTGAGAAACAACCAGGGAAAAGGTGACCCTGAGCTGCAGGCGGGATCCCTCCAATCCAAATGTTGGCAGCGGGAAGTCAGGATTCCCTTGCCCAAAATGCACGCCAACCCTGCCCCCCCACCCCCCACCCCCCCACGGTAGACTCAGGTGAGCGGAAGTCTGCAACTGAAGAACAAAACTATTAAAATCGTTTAAGGTTTTGTCTCCCAGGGAGAGGAGGGGAGGACAGCCAGCGAAGAAATAGCTCAGCTGGTTTTGTGAATTGGAAGATTCTCCCTTTCAAGGATCTCTCCCTCCCTCCCCTCCCTCCCTCCTTCCCTCTCTTTCTCCCTCCCCTCCCTTTCCCTTTCTTTCTCCCTTTCCCTCCCTTTCCCTCTCTTTCCCTCTCTTTCCCTCTCTCTCCCCCTCCTTCTCTCCCTCCCTCTCTCTTCCTCTCCCTTTCTCCCTCCCTCCTTCTCTTCCCTCCCTCCCTCTCTTCCCTCCCTCCCACTCTGCCTCCCTCCCCCTCTCTCCCCCTCCTTCCCTCCCATTCTCTCTCCCTCTCACCCCTTCTTCTCTCCCTCCCTCTCTCCCTCTCTCCTTCCCTGTCTTTCTCCCTTCCTACCTCCCTCTCTCTCTCTCTCTCCCTTCCTCTCTCCCTCCCTCCCTCTCTTTCTCCCTCCCCCTTCCCTTTCTTTCTCCCTTTCCCTCTCTTTCCCTCTCCCTCTCCCTCTCCCTCACTCTCTCTTCCTCTCCCTTTCTTCCTCCCTCCTTCTCTTCCCTCCCTCCCTCTCTTCCCTCCCTCCCTCCCCCTCTCTCCCCCTCCTTCCCTCCCTCCCTCTCCCTCTCCCCCCTTCCTCTCTCCCTCCCTCTCTCCCTCCCTGTCTTTCTCCCTTCCTAACTCCCTCTCTCTCTCTCCCTCCCTCCCCTCCTTCTCTCCCTCCCTCCCTCCCTCACTTCCTGTCTTTCTCCCTCCCCCTTCCCTTTCTTTCTCCCTTTCCCTCTCTTTCTCTCTCCTCTCTCCCTCCCTCCTTGTCTCTCCCTCCCTAACTACCAAGAGCCTTGGTAGAACAGTGGTCTAAAGCACCCTGTTATTAAGGACAGCTGCCTGCAATTACTGCAGATTCGAATCTCGCCAGGCTCAAGGTTGACTCAGCCTTCCATCCTTTCTAAGGTAGGTAAATTGAGGACCCAGTTTGTGGGGGCAATAAGCTGACTTTGTATAAATATACAAAAGGATGAAGGCTATTGCTTAGCGCATTGTAAGCCGCCCTGAGTCTCCGGAGAAGGGCGGCATATAAATCAAAATTAAAATTAAAAAAAAACACAACTCCCTCTCCCTCCCTCTCTCCCTCCCTCCCTCCCTCCCTCACTTCCTGTCTTTCTCCCTCCCTGTCTTTCTCCCTTCCCCTTCCCTTTCTTTCTCCTTCCTTCCCTGTCTTTCTCCCTCCCGCTCTCCCTCCCTCTCTCCCCTCCCTCTCTCTCCCTCCCCCCCTTTCTCTCGGATGGGGCTTCAGCTGTAAATATGAGCCATTGCTCGCTCCGTTCTCGGAGTCGCTCTTGGGCACAGCTGATGTGTGTGTCTGTGTATCATATAAACTTTTACTGCATTACGGTTTCAAGTGCCTCACAAAAAGTTGGCGGACTCTTTGCCAAGCCAAAAGCTTTGCTTGGGGAAAAAAGCCTTTTGGCTTGGCCGAGAGTCCCGGGGTCTGTTTTGCATGTCCTTCCTCCCACCGGGGACCGAATGCCCCTTCCCCTCCTGGACGGGGCAGTTCTGAACTGCAGGGCGAAAGGAAAGGGGGAAGAGCCGGCAACTGCCTGTCTGTCTGGTTCCATCTTGGCCTCACCATAGAATAACGGCAGAATAACAGAAGCATTGGAAGGGACCTTGGAGGTCTTCTAGTCCAGCCCCCTTCTCAAGCAGGACGTCCTTTCACCATTCCAGACAAATGTCTGAAATCCAGTCTCTTCTTCAAAACTCCCGTGTTGGGGCACCCACAACTTCTGGAGGCAAGAAGTTCTACCAATTAATTGTTCTCAGGGCCGTCTTAACAGCATTATGCCCCCCACCCCCCCTGGGCAAAGCAGTGTACTGGGGTCCCTACGACAACAACTCACACTAAAAATGTAAACGATTGATAAAATTAAACATATATTTATTTTATTGGCACTTCCATCAAAATCGGTGTTGAAACGTTAAAAACATGTGGGCTCATCTCATCATTTACGGAAAAAAAATAAGTGTTCATTTCTATTAATGCAGGTTAATATTAATTAAAAACATGCAGTAAAACGTAAGCAATATGTTGCTGTATTTATATGATACAAGGTGCATTGAAGGGTTAACATACACAGATTAGTATGGGGCCCCTATGCTCGTGGGGCCCACAGGCAAGTGCCCATCGGGCCCCTGCGTTAAGACAGCCCTGTTGTCAGGAAATTTCTCCTTAGTTCCAGGTTGCTTCTGTCCTTTTTTTTTTTTTTAAAAATTTGATTTATATGCCGCCCTTCTCCGGAGACTCAGGGCGGCTTACAATGCGTTAAACAATAGCCTTCAAACTTTTTGTATATATTTATACAAAGTCAGCTTATTGCCCCCACAAACTGGGTCCTCAATTTACCTATCTTAGAAAGGATGGAAGGCTGAGTCGACCTTGAGCCTGGTAAGATTCGAACCTGCAGAAATTGCAGGCAGCTGTGTTAATAACAGGGTGCTTTAGACCACTGTACTACCAAGGCTCAAGGTTGTGTGTGTCCTTGCCTAGTTTCCATCTATTACTTCTTGTCCTGCCCTCAGATGCTTTGGAGAATAGCTTGACTTCCTCTTTTTTGGGGTAGCCTCTCAAATATTGGAAGACTGCTATCATGTCTCCCCTGGTCCTTCTCTTCATTAGACTAGAGACAACTCCTGCAACTGTTCTTCATGGGTTTTAGCCTTCAAGCCCCTAAAACACCTTTGTTGCTCTTAAAATCTTTTTTGTAACACTCATTGGCATCCTTCCATCTCAAGAGACGATGGAATCGTGCTCTGGAAAGAGGTCCTAAAACAGCATCTAGTGCAGTGATGGCTAACCTTTTTGCCATCGCGTGTCAAAAGTGGGGGGATGCAGGGGGGACGCTCGTGTACGTGCCCACACCCATAATTCTATGCACCCCTCCCCCCACGCATGCGTGTGTGATAACACCCCCCACGTTCCCCCCATTTTTGGCATGTTATGGCAAAGTAGGCCCGTTTTTCGCTCTCCCCAGGCTCCAGAGCCTTTCTAGGAGGCTGGGGAGGGCGAAAATGGCCTTCCCCACTCCCCCAGAGGTCCTCCGGAGGCCAGAAACAGCTTTTCAGATTTTGCTGGTTCCGGGACTCCCTCTTTGCCTCGGCCTGCCGAACGAGTGTCTCTTCGGATTGGAGAAGGCCATGCTGCGTCTTTAGCCTCCAAGCTGAACGATCGGAGGTCAAGGTTTCCCAGTCGTTAATGTCCATTCCCAGGGCCTTTCGGTCCCTCTTGCAGATATCCTTATTGTTAAGGATATTGGTGTTGTGTTACCAACCAGCAGAGTAAATGCACAAGGAAACGTTGCTGAGAGCAATGAATAAGAGATATGCAAACTGGTTTATCAAAAGCTTACTTTATAGTAGAAAAGCAGTCTCATAGTCTTTAAACAAATTCCAAGTCTTTGCCAGTTAAATCAGTCCAGTAGTTACAGATATCGTCTTACCAAACAAACATTAGTTGGTTAGAATAACAAACTCACTCTGGTTCACAAACCACGATGGTAGCAGATCCATCCAACGATGATTAGCAGATAGCAACTCCTCTCAATGGTAGCATATCATCTCAGCTTCATCATCAATCTGAATACGTTACAATACCTTGCTTAAATACTTTCACAACCAGTCATTACCTAATTACAGCATGACTCAGCATTACAATGAATCAGCAGGAAAACCTTTAAAGTCGCATAATACATTTACAGATTAAAGGTACAATACACATATATTGCCTGGACAACTATTAGGCTCAAACCATATCCTAACACTTATATCGCAGCTGAGGTCTCCCTCTGGGGCGCTTTCCCGGCACTAATTCTCCCATCCAGGAGATCTTTCGGAATCCGACCATCGGCCATTCTCACGACACGCCCCAGCCAGCGTAGACATCGCTCTTTCAATAGTGTATACATGCTAGAGATTCCAGCACGTTCCAAGAGTGCGCTAC